TCGTCCACCCCCTCTTTCCAGCTCTTTTTTTGTCTCTTTGTAATTCTTTTTGTTCCTCGTTTTTTTGCGCTTTTTCGTTGTTATCGCTTTATTCTAGAGTAGTTCTATCTATTCCCGTCAAAAAAAGGGTACCCTTACTTTTTTGTTAACAGTGCCTTTAATTAATTCAATACATGACAGCGCTTTACGACTCACTAAACGGCTTTGCAGCTAACTAGGACCCGTTATACATCAGCTTGATCATTACAGGAAACCTATGCAACTGAGACCCGTAGAGATCTCTTCGTGCATCAGGTGAGAATTTTTGCCTTACTGAATTCGTTTATTTATTTATTCGACTACAACGAAGATCGTGCACTATAACTTCACAACTGGAGCTCTGAAACAGTAGCACCATTTCGAGTTGGAAGTTTCTCGAAGGAGAATAATCAAAAGAAGAAGGGCAGGATGCCCTGTGATCTTCTGGCGTATACGTTTGCTTTCCCAGGTGGGAAGGAAATCCCAGGTGGGAGAGGAAATCTCTTCAATTGGTTGTAATTTCGAAGGTTTACAGTTCACAACTGCAACTACGAAAATTTATTGAACCTTTTCGAGTGAAGCTTCGTCTCGTGTTTCGATGCATCTTGATAACAAGTAACAGTCCAGATAATATATACTTTATTGAGTGATGAAAAAGTTTTGTCCACGAAGGAATCGACTAGAGCCCTTTCTGAGTTTGAGGAAATTACTCGACATCAACCACATCTGTCGAAAATCTTCTAATTTCAAGAGGTACTGTATTGCCGGAGAAGAGGTAGAAGGGTTATGAAGTGGTGATCTAATACGATTTGAATTGTGTTGCGGAGTAATTTGGCTCTTCCCTTGAGAAGCTTGACATCCTTCCCTTCGAGAACAAATCTTATTTTCAATTCGACATTTTATACATCTTTGCATTTTGAATACTATACACAAAGTTGTTTAGACCGTAATGGCATTACGAAGATGTTGAAGCCTTCTGAGGTAGTACGGTACGGGTCTTCGTGATGTGCTGGTGTTTTCGAAGAATCTTGAAGGTGGTCTCGTTATCCTTCTTGCGATTGAAGCTGGGCCAAAAGATACTTTTGAATCACTTATCAAAGGCACATATGGTGCACGATTGATTCGGTTAACGTCGTTGTAGAATTTACTCCTGAAGGTTGTCTGAAGTAATTCCGATCTCATAGCAGTGAACTGTGGGTCACTACTAGCATCGGAAGCCGATCGACAGCAATAATACTTTCCATCAACTGCTTGTCGGCATTTACCTTCTTGACACGAGTTGTCATCCCATCCCTGCAATGGCATTACTTAGTAATAACCAGGAACTGCGAACAAGTAGGTTTTTAGCGTTCCTTCCGGGACAATTCAGTTGCTTAGGGGGGCCGATATCGCCGTTGGAGGAGCGGCAATGACTCTAAAGAGGTACCGAAAGGTTCTATCAGGATTTGTGGGTGGATAAAATGTTGAAATGTTGATGGCAACTTGTTCAAAGACAGGAGTTACCGTATGAAGAATCTGATTTTACATTCACACAACCACATTCTCATCAGAATTTGTACGTGAAACTGATGCTGCTCCCAATCTCACTCGAGTTCACTAACCCCTTCTGTTGATTAGGTATTTATAAAGCAGTATCTTGGTGTGTTGGTTTGTCGGCATGTCAGCCTGTCCTTCCGCAAAACTTTGTGATTACGATAAAGGAAGTGATGAGGAAAGCCCAGCTCTATCCCACGTTTCCTTCTTATTTTACACGATACCCCATCGTGGCTCTTCGCACGAGATAATCATCTCTCCCCTGCCCTTCTTGAGGCTTAGAACGCTCCATATTCTTTCGCCGAGAACCTTTACTGTAGCCCTCAGTGTTGGATAGTAGCTATGCCCCACTCTCCCCTCNCTCCCTCCCCCTCCCTCACCCTTCCCCCCTCCCCCACACTTAAATTTCTGATATACGAGAAAAAGTTGATTGCACTGAGGCAGAAGAGCGTTGTAAGAAGGTAGGTGCTACAGGAAGAATATTCTTTATGGCGATCACTTACCTTGCAAGGAATAGATGAGTTGTCCTTACTGACTACTGCTTCAATACAGGTTTGTTCAGTTAGTGGATTTGGACAGCAAGCATTTGACCCGTCTATCAGTCGTTCGCAGACGTAATCCGATGAACATGACATTGGATTTGAGCGCGAACATCTGTACAAATGAAGCTAGGGAGTATATACAAAAATGGTCCAAACAAGGTCTACCTCATGGGTTTTCTTGTGTTCTTATCCATCACAGGCATGCGGCCATCAGGGCATGTAAAGACATCAACTGTGTGGCAACAGAAATAGAGAACATCAGCAGCATTGGTTATCGTGGCGTTCTCTTCCAATATTGGGAGGCACGACGTCGACAGAGGGCATACAGAATCACCTACAGAATCCGTGTGAATCGAAGCTCAAAATGTTTCTGATGCCTTTGTTTAGCGCAGTCGACCATCACGCGTACCTTCGTATGGAAGGGACGAAGAGCCGGTCATTTTTGCTCTGCCCTTAGGAAAAATGTATTAGAGACAGAGTACGGCCTGTTCGGGTAACTAGTTATAGATGAGTAATGATGAAAGCATAGCCCAGATTGGTGCAAAAGTGGCGAATATAGGCATATTCATAAAAATATAAGGCTTCAAAGAAGAATTCGAATAAGGGATTGGACGAGGATGTTACGATAAAAGCCGCGAGGGAAGGGTATTTGGACGAGCTGTTCGACCGCACGCGCCATTGCGCACAGCTGGCTGCAATACGCTGCCTGCGAGGCGTGGGTTGCGAGCGGTGCAACGTCTACAGCTTTTACAGCATTACAACTTGGTCCACCTTGAGCGTGCGCGTTGGCGCGTTTTTGGAGACCCTTGTTGTCCTTAGGGACGCCGTCGGGTCGGAAAATAGTGTTGCTAGGGCGTAATAATTATCCTATTCCAAGGAGCATAGGTCCATTCTGGGAAGGAATATCAGAAATCATTTTTAATGTGAACTGTATTTTTAAATCAGAGCGCTAGGCCAACTGAAGCCTCTTTTCCCTGAGAATAGACTATTTCGTATTAGAGTTGCACGAAATGGCCAAATGCCTCCCAAACTTGAGTGGAAATAGGGTCTGTGGAATACAGCAAAGGATGTCATAAATGCAAGTTTCGAACTCACCAGGAAAGCAGCGCTGCGGTCGCTTTTTCGTAATGTCCACGTAAGGAACGATGCACACCTTTTCAGGTCGGCAACATAGATGTCGTGCTCCACTTCCTATGGCCGTCCCTGGAACAGTTCTACTCTTATTTTAATTTTGCTATTCTCTTTGTCAAACTGTACGGAGAATTTGTATTTGCGATCTTTACCTTCTCCTAAAACACAAAGATGATCATCGGGGCAATTACCCTGAACTCCTAATGAGCAAGCTCTCGGGCGTCCGCCTAAATATATGTAAATGAGTTGTAAACAAGTGAAAGTCAATGAAGCAAATAGAGGGATCCACCAGGAAAGTTTTTAAAAAACCCAGTTCTTCCCAATGCTGAGCGCTAGAGCAGAGAAGGAAGAGTAGCGTCTTTGTGGGCCCGTAATGACGACTAGGAAGGTTTCTTAGCCGAGCAAGACAGTCCTTAGAAACAAGCCTCACGAGGGAAGAAGCACCGGATTGCGGGAGTACATAACCCAACTTTGCATGAGAAAATCAACTCATCCGCCACGGTGCTCTCCATTACTGAGGCTCAGGCAACTATATTCTTTTCGCTAAAAACATTTTCCGAGCACAAGTAAGCCTAAGTACTCCCCCATCTTTGCGTTCTAGCGCTCAGTGCTGGAAGAGCGTGGTACGATCACTCTCAACTTCATTTACACCCAAAACTCTTCATCTATGCCATGAATAGTGAACTCACCGTTCTCTCTGAGCGCTCTCATACCAATCGGACATTCAAGCGGCCGAGTGCAACAAATGTGCTCCTGAACTTTGCAATCACTACTTATGAGCTGTACTTCACAGCATACCAATTAACTATAGCTTACGTCGTTGCAGATGAAAGCTGTATATTCATATTAGATTATTATTAGAGTCAGATACTTTGTGCAGGGACCATTCATTTTATTGTTGGTATAAATGGTCCTAATACGAGAAACAGTACATGTCTGGAACGATATGGTTTTCTGATGCACTGACGATGAAGGAAGTACATAAATTACCGAGGTATGTTTTACTACAGCGGTATTTCCATGTCGTTAATTATTACTTTACTAGGTAGTGATCGGGGTATCCTAATGAATTTACAACAGAATTTTTATTTTACTAAATGAAATCTATTTATTTTAAACTTAGGCAAAATCTTTATTTTACTAAGTAAAACCTATTCATTTATAGGAAGCAATGAATGGAGAACATCTTTGTGTGCCATCAAACATCAACCATGATGGTCCTCTCTCCCGGAAAAAATCTTTTCCCTATATGTAGTCCGTAGAAGTTCTGGAAAAATTCACACTTCTGTTTGCATTATGCGAGACAGTCAACCAATTGGACAGGGCGTTTCTGAACTAAGTTAGAGGATGAAGGAAAAAGACTTTGGGCGTTCATCAATTCCGTCATAGGGATGCGCCCCGCAATCGACTTACAATCAGAATCGCAGTGGCGCAGTGAATCCGCATGAGGCCTATGTATATAATGCAACTGGTCGATTGCTAAAACTTTCATAATTTTCATAATTTGCAATTTGTTCAAAAAATTATTTCGTGGTACGTGAGGTCGTAGCTTGTTTCATTAATATCAACTGATAGCTTGCTCTAAGATTAGAGCTTGTAACTTCTACAACCTTGATTTTCTCAGATCCTCACAAAATCTAATGTTTATGGAACCAAAAAAAGATTAAAACTCACCAAATTATCTGCCTGCTGACATGAGTACTGTCCGGGGCACGAATCGTGGTGGCCTGGATCGCATCGTTTCGGCTGTCCCTTCTAAATCATGGCTCTACAGTATAATCAAAAATTTGTCAAACTCTCCCTCGTTTCCTCTTGATCTCTCTCTTGGAGTGAGTTTTCGAGTCGTCATTCACATGAAACTAACTATACACAGCATTACGGTGCTTGGGAAAACTTAAACAAACATGAATTTTGAAGAATACGGGTCTACTGAAACTGATTTAAAGGCTTATATGGGCGGTGCGTGTAAATTTGATGTGACATCCAGAACTACAACAGAAATGACATGCCATAGGACCCCCATACACCTCTAGTAAGCTGTCAGCTCCCCTCCCCCTCTTCCCCGTGTAGAGGTGTACTCCGATTCCAAAGCACCTGCTTTGAGGAGTAATTTCACTCTCCAGACGAGAAAAAACCATATTTTCAATTTGAATAGGGGATCTGATTGGTTTAGTAAATTCGTGACTGATGATGACTTAATCCCCGAACCATTCATGCGATGGTGTAACCACTTGTCGATATCGATCTTCTTGGCACTAGCGAAATCCAAAATTACATAAACCCTTCTATGAAGTTGAATTCGCTCCAGCACAGCCAACGGTGTTACGTCTACACAGGAATACCTAAGGAGGGATCCGGTTTTTCTCCAAAGATGAAGCAGCCAACTACACTCTCCAATTCTGAACACAATTTATGATCCCTCCTGCAACATCAGTGCCAAAGCTTCAACTTTCCACTGTTCTTCAAAGACGACGGAAGACGGATCATACAGACAGAGTCGTCGGTCCTCTATCACTACTATGCCCCTCTCACAAAAATCATCTCAGCCTAGGTTACCACAAAGGAACTAGTGGCAGTTCTTCAGAAAAACTTGATTCTGGTGAAGAACTGCAGGACTCGTTATCTCGTCTGCCTGTAGGGAACACTGAATTCCATTATCAGATACGGAGAGCAAATTTCAGGCCTTTTCAAATATTCGTTAAGTGAACATAGTGCTAAAACAAGTGAAAAACTCACTTCTAGAAGAGCGATAGACTCCGCGGCAGGACATACTGGAGTCGTGCGACAGCAGATCGCTGCGAACGGAGAACTTAATTAGACAATTTGTGGTGGGAGAATGTCTGTGACATATTCAAAAAGAATCATATGGGAGAATCTATTAGAAGCCTACGTTTTAACACATTCATAGCCTATTGGACATCCGATTTTGGCTTTTGCATCGCAGAGTTGTGGTTTACCAGTAATCGGATTGTAGTGCTGTTCGAGCCCATTTGGGCAACTACCTGAAACTTTTAGGTTTTTTCCAATCAACCGAATTACTTTCACCCTAAAAATTTCAAATAGTGAAAGTGCGGTTCTAGTATCACCACCGCGAGAGAACTGCTGTTATATTTGCGTATCTTAAAGGAGAGATCTGAATTATTTCGTTGGAGCCCTATAGAGGATAAAGGATAAGCAGTTTAGCCTTGACTAATACCAAGTCCTGCATTCGACTCACATTCGGAATCGTAGTGGTGTTTAAATGCGACCTATACATAATACTTTGCGGTGGCTAGTCTTTGTACAAATCAATGCTTTTTTCCTCCCAGACGAGTCTGGTGTCAGATAACCGACCCGAATGGATGGAAGGCTTGTTTGGTCTAGGGAAAAGTCGACGGGACTTGAACCTTTGATCATACGTGTGTGATAGTGACCACTTCCCACAAACTATCTTTGCGCATGACACATCTCGTGATTTCTGAATTTTGCACCCCGGCCAGCAGGTGAAGCTTGTCCTCAACGCTTTCGCCCCTGAGTCTGACGCTAACTAAACGAACCCAGAGCAATGAAATGTATTGTTGACCTGGGTGAGAACTTATCCGATTCCGATTCTCGGACCATGTGTGCGTAGTAGTGTGCGTCACTTGCCACTGTATTATCTTGCTCCCGTAATGATGTATGTTTCCTTGAATTTTCGTTACTTGCAATACTCTCGTTTTCTGTTATGCTTTATTCAAGAAAATGAAGCAACCAAGCTCAATCATGTCGTCTACAATGATTCGGAATAGGCCATGTTTTCGGGCTACTGTAAATATACGTACCTAACTTAAAGGCACGTTTCACGAAAAAAATGGTTACTGAGCCCTTCCTTGAGGAGTACTCAGTGGCCCCCATGGGTGGTAGAGACCCCCTCTCGCTCCCAAAATTTCGACGGTCAGGGCATAGTGGAAGCCCAGTTGCTGGCTTGAGTTGCTTTTCCGCCTCTCGGTCGATATCACGTCAGACGAGGGTCGAGCCAATACAGTTTATTATTACTCTTTATAGGACCCACACACATTCAACTGATTGCCGGGTGATGAAACGATGTTTTTCTCGCATTCTTTTTTCCTCTGTTATACTTTTTGCTGCCGCGATCCCTTTTTGAAGTTCCTACCCAAGAGGCTGAAAAAGAAGAGCTCCTTTTGCTGTAACCTTGTTTGTTTTCTTGTAAGTGTATGAATATTTGCGCGTAGCTCGTCTAAACGCCCCACTCTTCTTCATTTTTCTTGTTTCCATTCTTGACCAGCCCCCTTTTTTAACGTTTTTTCGAAGCCTTTTTCACTTCAGAAATACCGATCCACGCAGCTCCTTAGCCTTCATTGCACTACTTTCCATCTTACCTTCCATTTTTCATCATAATCTAGGTCACTCTGCAGATTTTTTTGATTTTTTTNTTTTTTTGCAATAATTTTTTCACATATATTAATTTTTTTCTCATGAAAATTCCACTTCAAAGGAAGTAGCCCGATTCGAAGGTAAGTGTGAAGTTCAAGTACCCTAGATTACCTCGAGTCGAGAAGTTGCTAATTTCTAATCTATCCCACCCAAACAGACCCCGCATACCGCATACAAAGGGCTAATTTAAAAATTAGCGAAACATTGAATGTCGAACGAACCTACACAAAAGTCAAAACACTGATCCTCGCTTGCAAATGCGTTCCACTGCTCATCTCCAGCTGTGTGTTCGCGCTGAAATTAAACACTCTCCGATTAGAGTGTCAATCGAAATGGTAGGAACATGGCACGAGATTTTAAGGTGAAGAATGGCCGCAACACTACAAATGAACATGCTGCCTTTTCAAACCCACTTTTTCACATTCCCCAGTCCTATAATTGAATGTCCACACAAATTCCTTCAGGAAACTTCGACGATTCGGCCGTTCGTTCAGTGGAGAGCCGCAGACAAAATCTGCAAAAAAATTTTTTTAGAACTCTCTTGAGGAAGGTGAAGAGACAGGTTGGGAAACGCAATGGATTAATGTGATCGCTTTCTATCGTGTCCGCTTTTCGGCAGCAACTTCAAAAAGCCTCGGGAATTGGGACGTCTTCTGAGTATCTGCCCAGGTTACAAGAAAACCGAACATGTAAGTTGTTACGCGATGTACCTAGTACTTCTTTTGTTCGATAATTAGATAATATCAATGACTACGAATAATACTAAAAACCCGGATTGAGTAGATTGAGTGAATTCACATTTTATTTCAAATATTTGATTCAGTTACTTATCAACTCCGTCTTTTAGAGTGGAAGACGGGTGGGAGAGGACGTGTGTATGTGTTTCCAAAAGGGAAAGCGAACTCATTTATAGGTCTCGAAGTTGTTGCTGAATGGGTCGTTAAGATTGTTCTTACCTCTACTTGGACAGCATGCTCCTTTCAATCCGATCTTCGCCGTGCATGTGTAGTTTCTCGGACAGTGCTTGTCTTCGTGACAAGTAGCAATTTTATTGATGGAATACCGATCAGGATGCGGATCGCCTCGAGGACAAATTACTGAAAATGATTCACTAGAGAACAGAAATGCGTAACATGATATCCGAAGAAAATCTTCATTTTGTACTTGATAGACTGATTGGGAGCTTGCGATCATATTTTTTATTGATCATATTTTCGCATTCATCATTGAAGACACAGTTCACGATAAATTCGGGGTACCCTTTTTAGGTTGAAAAGCGGAAGTTTTGATGTACAGGAGTACATCGGTGGCGAAGAAGGTGAGAAAATCCGCCTGCTTTAAGGTTTTAAAATAGTGGAAGTGAAGGTTGTATGAGATTACCGTGGCAGAATGGCAGTAAAGGTGTTTGGACGAGATTCAAGTTGCTCCCATTGCGCGCAGAGAAAAGTAAATCGAACCGGAATTGTCCAAAGCTACCTTTCACTGTCGCTATAGGTTATGACAAATTGTTTGAACTAGCTAAACTGGAAGTCCCTTGAGATAGTGCAGCTTCTACGAAGCCGTTGAAACTCGTCCATCATGGGTGTGGCATTCTATGGCTCCTTATTGCACCAAATCCGAAACCTTTTTCGTCGGCAGTCATGATATAAGGGAGAGCCTCGAATTAAGACTACAGAGAAATCTCAGGAACCGTTTTTAACGTGAGCTGTACCTTTGTACTAGATCATCAGGAAGAATGGGCCGACGTCCATGCCGAATTTTGGATAAGGCATCAGTGGTGGAAATGAAGATGCCGAAATTTCTCAAGATCATGTTCTTCCCACAAAATAATGATACAAGTAGTGATGAGTTACGAGCAAAACTTTTTGTATGAAGGATTCTGTCTAAGTCTATCAATGTCTTCCCTCCACAACCGACTCATCGAAATTGCGGCTTGAACATGGATAAGCTTCGATATGTGGGCGGTTGGAAGTTAAGTGAAGGTGTAACGCTCTGCAGTTATGTAAGAATGACAACAATGCTCAATAAAAGGAGCTCGCGTTTTCTACCAGTCTTAGATTTTGTTCCGTTTATACCTTCGATTGTTCTGATGGTTTGAATTTTTGTATTGTTTCTATATTCACTAAAAATTATAATTGTCACCAAAATTTCTATGTATTTAGTGAAAACATTTTTCCACTACACGTTTTCCAGCCATTCTCTTCATCTAAACCAATGAATCTACCTTCGCTACTGCAAAACTGTGTACATTCGCCTTTTGTTTTGAAATTATTCTCGTTTCCACCGCAACCAGTAAACGTGAACGAACGGCAGAGTTTTGAGGAAGCGTCGTAGTAATATCTGAACGATTCGCAGTTTTTTCAGAAGTATAAAGGGAACGAGGGCTGTTCACGTTGGAACCTTCGCTGAGGTGGAGCTCCACATGGAGAACCAGCGTGCACTGAGGTGTGGCATATGCGATCTGTAATTGAAAAACTGGAGAATAAATCGTTAACAACAACAACATTAAAACAAAAGGACTTGTTCCGATGCAGTAAAAAGACTTCGCTACGGAGATTTCAGAAAAGAATTTGGTTCTGAGTGAGCAAATGATATGCATCAGATTTAGAGGATGCGCCATGAATAAGGCAATTTCATGGCGCATCACACTTTATTTTTTTGTGAGTTTTTTGAAGCTTCAGCGGTTTTTTTTCAAAGCCAATTCAGGACTCTTCAGAATGGCAAAACCTTGTGTTCGGAGGCGTAAAATAAACATAAAAATAACATAAAAATGGCAAACCTGCTTTCTGACAACACACTGATTCCATTCCACGTCCGATGCATTCATGAGAGCCCGGGCAGGGTACTCTATCAGCTTCGCAACGTTTAATATTTCCAGCAAAATCCATGAGTGGAAGTCCTTTTCCGCAAAGAGCTGAAAACTGCCAACGTCAACGAAGTACGTACACTCATCTGGCTAGGTCTGTGTGATGATCAAGATAAACTCGAGGTCTTGTAGGGACTATGTCTGATGTATGATTTCATATGTAAATTCCACCTCTCAGGCTCTGAAATGGCCGAGACCTTGGCCATCGAGGTAATCGACAATTAATACAAAGTTATATCAGTAAAGTGGTTTCGATAATATTGACTAGCTTTATCGGAAGCTGCACTTGGAAAATTTCGAACTGTAACGCGCTATTTCGGGAGTAAAGGTGTGGAGCTGGAACACGAGTTTTCGGTTCCGTACTACTCATTTGAGCAATGTCATGAATACGGCTCATTCTCCCCAGTTCACAGTTGTAGGAGCTTCAATCGTTTGCAACTTCATCAGCTCACAATTGACTTTGCGGTCGGTCGCTCTCGGAACCTTGAGGGTTCGCTTCTTCAGTACTTCTTAGTGCTCTTGCTTGATACACGCGTCAGTGTCTTCCACACGATCTTCGATTACTGGCAGAGGTCATTACTGTACTATTTGGAACCTGTTAGAGCCGAAAAACTTCAATCATTTGTCTTCAGATAGCAAATTGTCTATGATTGACCGAATAAAGGACACAGTTGCATGCATGGAATGTTGATAGATATGGGTGTCGACAACTTAGGAAGAGCGAGGATTTTACGTACGTAGGTTGCCGCAAAGCCGCATTTCGTATCCTGCATATTCCCCACTACTACCCCGATTTTCGCGACTGTTACATCTCGTTCCCTCTCGCTCAACTCCGTAGTTAAGCCATTGGCTGCTTTCATAGTCCACTGGCCGGCCGGCGTGCCACGAGGCAGTGCTAGGGGGGAGTAGTGCGGCAGACTGTACAACTGTAGTTAGAGGATCAGGAAACTTTTCACTGCAGTCAAGTTCAACTGGGATCGTTCCACGTGCTTGGTCTACCTGAGAATGCCATATACACGGTCCGCAGGGCTTCAGGAACTAATCATTAATTATAATTATTATGGAGTTATGAGAGAAAAGAAGTTTCATTGAGCTGGATGTAAATCTCCTACGAAAAATCTTGTCGTTGGTCTCTCTGTTGATATCCTTTTCAAAAGACAGGTTTTCAAAGACAGAATGTTACAGTCATTTCATGCTGGTTCTCCTGAATAGGCATGTGCTAGACAATGGAGTTTCCTTCATGTCTTTCAAATCGTTCGTTTCTGTTTGTCGTAAAATTGCCACATTTATGAAGAATGACAACAAAAAAACTAGCTCCTTGATAGGTTTTCAAGACCTATGTCGGCGGTGTTTTCTGCCACTGCTCTAAACCCCTGACTGAAAAAGAACCGCAAATCAAATCACGTCACTCAAGCCTGTCATATCGTACCCCTATTTTACTTACCTTTCACTAATCAGCCGAGGAATAAAGTATTAGGTTGAGCCATAAGTCCTCGGACAAAATGATAACGATGACTTCTAGAGATCTTAACTCGGGAAAGAGGAGACGAGAATGGACGTGCGCGGCATTGTTTGATACAGAATGAAATGCTCTTCAGAATACGTGCTAACGAACAACCTAACTGTTTCCTATCCTGCAACCATGCCCCATGATTTCAAGTCGTCACAACTCCACCTCAGCAACGCCATCCTATTTCTTTTGTATCTGGTCAAAGACGCGCGGAGATCGATAGACGTATTAAGGAAATTTACAAGAAGGGTGCTCCTGCCAGATGCACAATTCACAAGTGGCACACGAAGTTCACGTCGGACGAGAATTCCATCGAAAATGAAGGCCGTCCTGGACGCTCAATGAAGTTGGATTTGGAGGTTCTGCGGAGCCAGCTGGAAGCCGATCCGTATCAAACTACTCGTGAACTGGCAGTCACCCTTGGGGAGTCAACCCACAACTATTTGTGGAATGAAGTCAATCGGCAAGGTGCGAAAGCTCGGTCGATGGGTGCCTCATGCTTTGTAGCAGTATGACATGGATTTTCGCGCTGGCATGACTTTTTCTGTCTTCACGCTCAAGCGCATGAGATGGTCAGTTGTACCCGGTAGTATGCATTTGGAAGAGCTTTTTATACTCTATCTAATGATGCCTCGCTCGTCCATATTCGTCACCTATTTCCCGAGTTATGATCTCTAGAAGTCTTCACTATCACTTGGTCCCAGGACTTATGGCTCAACCTAATATGTAATTCGCAAATATGTGCGGCTTACACAACTACAAATCAAATCCGCACTCAGCTTCCAAATATTGGCCTGATTGAAATGGATCAACCAACATAAACTCGCGGAACTCACTGAGACTCCTACATCCTTGTAAGCAGTCCTCCTTCGAAGTGAAACGATTTTGGTTTCCTCCGCATCCTTTGAATAGAAATTCGATGCATTCTCCTGAATCAAACATTTCAGGTTTGGAAGCCAAAAATCCTACTGAAATCAGTGCTTTTGAGTGTTCGACAAGTGTTAGGAGCATGAGAAGTTGTTTTTTCTAAGATCCAGGTGCAGGAATCCATGTAGTGAACGAAAATTGTGAATTGAAAAAGAAGAGGTCAGAGAGACCGAGCGGGTAAGGTGAATATTCCAAGCTCAGGGGTCGGCCAATTTCATTGTTCCTCATTAACTTTGTCTAGGTCCTTTGTCAGTCCTTTAGAAACGTGTGTGCCCTAACATTTCCATACATGTCCTCCAAGGTGCTAGAAACGTTTCGCCCTCCGAAAGTTTCTAGAACTTCCTCAACATCTCGGGATCGGAGGTCGTGAAAAGAATGGTGACACTGAGATCCGACGTTCACAAGAAAAACTGGCGTACCGTCCTTGGTGAAGCTTCAGAAACCTCGTGCATTTCATGAGATCATTATCGGAAGGACAACAAGGAGAGGTGATTTGAGAGTTTTGGAAGTGCTGGGAATGTTATGAATCCATAGGGCAGCTGTTTCGTAAAATACAATGAAACGGGATGGAGCAAGTTACTCAACATGGGTAAAGCTGAGCCTTCAAAAAAAAAAAAGATTCGTTTAGAGAGGAAAAAGTCTTGAATCAATAATGAAGTGAATGGTAAAAATGAATAACTAAAAACGGT